GGACGGAATATTACTCATAAACAAATACATTCTGGGAAAATCTATTTATGGGATGTTATACATGTTATATGCACTCAAAACAATGGACTTACTATTCCATACAATGTTGCACCAGACGTTAGCTCAGCAACAGATAACGACTTCTCGCTAACACGTTGTTTACGCTTTATTTTCTAGAAGTGTTTTGTAAGCACACCAATAGTATAAATAGGCCTTGCGCCCATTTCATGTCGTTCATTACCCGGCTAGGCACCGTAACAGTCACTTATGTAAACTCCGTAAATGTCACATCTGTAAACTTTTGTATTTTATATGGACCGAAAGCTCAGTCCTCAAATAAAATTTTTTAAAAAGTTATTTCTAAATCTAATGATTTAAGAAATTGGTGTCAGAGAAGTGGGATAGCTTCAACGCATTAGAACACGTGCATACTAACTAGTGTGGTGGATGCCTATCCTTTAAGCTGAAAAGGACCAACGAGCCTTAAGAAGAAAGAAACCCATTGAAGAAAGAAAACTACAAGTAAGAAACTACAAAGCAACAAGAAGAAAGAAAACAACAGGGGACACAGCGAGCAGCAGCCACCCAACTGCAGACAGACTACTGGAAACATCGCAAGAGATCCACTAGCCGCCTGGAGAACACGACTGCCTCCCGATGTACCCTTGGTAACGTACAATTTTAATCTAACTATTTTTTGCGATTTATCTCTGTGTGTGTGATTGCTACATCTTTTTATTTGCATTTTTGCGCATTTACTCTATATTGTCGATTTTCACGTATTTTTCCCCATTTTCACGTATTTTTCTATTTTACATTTATATCTTTTTGCATTTTCCCTTGACATTATTGAATCTTTTTGAAACAACTTTCCATCTAAAATGTCTACTAACGGTTCAGATGATTACCAACCAGCTGAAATTCCTGATAACGTTCATGCGAACATTGAACCTTATAGATTATCTGAAATATTTTCGATTGTACCCGAGTACGATGGAAACACGATATTGCTATCGACCTTCATCAACGCGTGCCGAACGGCATATCAAATGGCCGTCGAGGAGCAGCGGCTTCTCGTCGTTTTACATATTAAAAACAAACTTCGCGGACGTGCCGCCGAACTTGTGAACAGCCGAAACCCTTCCACGTGGGAAGACATACGGTCCCTGTTAGAAACGCACTTTGGAGATCTTAGAGATCTCACATCTTTAATCGCGGATCTTCAACACATGCGCCAACTCCCCAACGAATCACCCCTAACCTTTGCATCTAGACTACAGACGCATGCAGCCAAAATGCATTCCGCCGTGAATAGACAAAATCTAAATCGCGAGCAAAAATCTGCTCAAAGTTCCCTCATCGAAACGATGACTTTAAATTGTCTATTAACAGGATTAGACTCAAAAATAGGACCTGTTGTGCGATCAGGACATCCCACGGATATCTTGACCGCAGTTTCGTATATCAAACGAGAGTTACAACTTTCATATTTGGAACGACAAAAATTCGCCAGGGCCCCAAACCCGAATCAAAATTCAGTTATTCGAAGACCAAACCCTAAAATTTGTAATTTTTGTAATCGTCCCGGTCACTTGGCAAATGAATGCCAACGGAGACAACAGCCTACAAGCTTTGCCCCAATACAGTTTAACCAGCCCCAACCTCAAAATTACCCTAGGCCGAATCAACCTATGCAAGTTAGACCATCTACATCTAACTACCATCAAAATTCTAATCAATATCCTCAAAGACCATCTGTAATACGACCAAATGCGCCTAACGCGAGTGCGCCAAGACCCTCTGTAATTCAGAGCAATCCAAATTTCCAAAACCCTAATTTTCAAAGAAATTTTAGACAAAATCCTCCCAATCGAATTAATTATGTCGCCCCTGATTCTTACGATTATTCCGACTACGGTGAACCAGACCTATACAACACGGACTACGCTAATGAATATGACGATACCCAGTACTCCGCCTACACACCTTCCCCATACGATGATTTTAGAGAACCCAGTAACGATTATTGTTACGAATATAATCAAACCGCCGATACATTTGTTGGCGAACTTAGCGAATCTCAGTGTCGAGGACCCGAACGCGAAACCGTGTGCGAGCGTCAGCAACACATGCGATCAGATGTTCATATAAACCCTCCGTTTATAGTCCCGTCCACAATTCACCCAGTTAGCCCAGACAACTTATATTACATTAAAGATGCTACTGGAAAATTCAAAATTCTCATTGACAGTGGTGCAGGTTGCTCCATTTTCAAACGTAACACTTGTCAAAATTATACTAATCGTGTCGCAGAAAATATCTCTATCCGAGGTATTACTGACGAAAAAATTATTATTACTGAAGCAGTCTTAGTCCCATTTGCTCCCAATGATTATCACAAAATTTATGTCCATGATCTAGATATTTCATTCGATGGCCTTCTTGGGTCAGATTTTCTTGAACATTATGATTGTATTATTGATTTGAAAAATCGTCAATTGATTACAAATTTCAAAACAGTCCCTTCCCTCTTTTCAAAGTAGGTGACGAAAATGATTCCAAAGCTTCTCAATTTAAAGAAAAGGCCCAAGCTTCGCAATTTAAAGAAAATTCTCAAGTTCAAAATGTTATTTCTACTCCTCCCAGAGTTGAACAAGTTGTCAAGCTCAAATCCGAGCTTAGAAATACTGAAGCCATTCTTCTGGCATGTGAGGTAGAAAAAGTCCGTCTACCCAGTTCCATAGTTAAAATTGATTCTAAAGGCGAATTCCTTACTACAGTATTAAACTGTAATGCCATTCCAAAAAATGTAATTTTACCCCAATTAACTTTCGAGCCCTTTAACGAAACTTCTATCAATAATTTCAACACTTCTTTACAAAATCAAAGTCAGTATAACCGTAGAGATGTTATTAGAGATCAATTACGTCTCGATCATCTCAACGAAGAGGAAAAAGATTTAATTACGAATCTTTGCTTAGATTTTTCGGACATATTCTATTTAGATGGTGATAGCCTGTCATTTACAAACGAAATTAAGCATTCCATTGATACCACTACCAGTAAACCAATTTTTACCAAATCCTACCGATACCCTTATGTCCACAAGCAAGAAGTCAAAGATCAAATTTCGAAATTACTAAAACAAGGTATTATCGAACCTAGCACATCGCCATGGAATTCTGCGGTGTGGGTTGTACCAAAGAAAATGGACGCGTCTGGTAAACAGAAATGGCGTATGGTGATTGACTATCGTAAGCTTAACGAAATCACCATCGATGATAAATATCCCCTGCCAAACATTTCCGATCTACTTGATCAATTAGGGAAATGCCAGTACTTTAGTACACTGGACTTGGCATCTGGATTTCATCAAATCGAGATAAATCCAGTTGATGTTCCTAAAACTGCATTTTCAGTTGAAAACGGACATTACCAATTCTTGAGGATGCCTTTTGGTCTCAAGAACGCTCCTGCCACGTTTCAACGTGTCATGGACAACATCTTGATGGGTATACAAAACGAAAGATGTCTTGTATACATGGATGACATAATTGTCTATTCCCCCTCCATCCAAGAACACATCAGTAGGCTTACCGAAATTTTTACGCGTCTTCGGAAGTCGAATTTCAAAATCCAGCCTGATAAGTGCGAATTCCTCAGAAAGGAAGTAGCCTATCTTGGTCATGTAATAACTCCTGATGGCGTTAAGCCCAATCCAGATAAAGTGGATTGCATAAAAAATTTCCCTCAACCCAAGAATCCTAAAGAAATAAAATCTTTCTTAGGTCTTGCAGGTTACTACCGACGCTTTATACCAAACTTTGCCAAAATTGCGAAACCCCTTACCAGACTATTACAGAAAGACGCAGTATTTGACTTTGATAGCGAGTGTGTTAAGTCATTTGATACTTTAAAAAATGCTTTAACAACATCTCCTATACTGATCTACCCCAACTTTGAAGAGCCTTTTGTGCTTACAACAGACGCAAGCGCTTTTGCGATATCTGGCGTTCTTTCCCAAGGTCCCATAGGTAAAGATCTCCCGATAGCCTATGCATCTCGTACACTTTGTAAAGCAGAAACGAGATATTCCACCATTGAAAGAGAACTTCTAGCTATTGTCTGGAGTGTAAAACATTTTAGACCTTATTTGTATGGTCGAAAGTTTAAACTCGTAACAGACCATAGACCCCTTACGTGGCTTTTCTCTTGCCGAGACACCGGAAGTAGATTAGCAAGTTGGCGCCTCAAGCTAGAGGAGTACGACTATGAAATAGTGTACAAGCCAGGCAAGACTAATAAAAATGCCGATGCGCTATCACGTATCAAATTACCCAAAACTGTTAACGCCCTTACCCATAGTGACGAAGAAGGAGAACCTTCTACCCAATTTTCCGAAAGTGAATTTGATATCTTTGCCCGCCTTTACAAAACCACATCCCTGATCGATTATTCCAAAATTCAATTTTCAAATTCCCAACTCCTAGACAAAAGTCATAAACATATCGTCACGTTTTTCAGACAAAACACTCTATCTGATCTTCACGAAAAAATTATCGAAGACATTCGAGGAAAATCTTGATTTTTCTGCAGATAAAATTAACATCGCGTCTAGCAAAACAATTAAAGATAGGAAATACTATATTATTCCTGTGCCGTACGATCCCGTAACTTGCATACAGCATCTTTTCTCTGTAAATTTAACCAACAAAGGTGTATTCGACCTATCCCAACAAATCTACGTTAAAAATAATTTGGACTTACCCATTTTAGAAATTTTCTCTTTTATTTTTTCGGATGATAATATCAAACTTGTCGTTTGCCAAAACGTCACCAAAACTCCTAATCCCGACGAACATCCCTTCAATATTCTTCCCTATGCCGTTCAGTGCTACAATAGCACTAGAAATGAAACTACTGGCTTTACACCATACGAGCTCGTGTTTGGCCACACCTCTGGTCGTCCGCCCGAACACGTATATTTAGAAAAAGAATTGATGTCCAAGTATGTTCGAGACATTCGAAATAAACTCGAATATTACTACAAAATTGCCCGCGTGAGAACTGACGAACAGAAGCAAAAAGCAAAAATTCGCTTTGATAGTAGAGTGTCACCCAATTTACAATCATATAAAATTGGCGATAAAGTCTTTGTGAAACAGTCTCAAATTTCAAACAAACTTCAGAACAAATTTGATGGTCCATTCGAAATTACTCAAGTTTTTGAAAATTCTGCGCTCCTTAAGAACCCGGAAACAAATAGAATAAGTAAAGTTAATTTTGACAGACTGAAACCATGTTTTGAGACTTAGTTTCTCTTTCAGGTACAGTCTGCTGTTTCTTGCGGCTGTCACAGCCCAGATAGACATCAAACCGCTTAACAACACCTTAGGTATCTATTTTCATGAAGACGCCCCTCTTAAGATTTCCAACGAAATTTGGACACTCCTTGTATATAAAGACTTAGAACTCATTAAGAAAGCACTTGACGATAACAAATATATTCTGGAACACTTATCATATCTCGTAGACAAACCCACCAATCGTATGAAGATGTTTAGTGGTGAAATTAAAACTCATACAAGTCTCCTTTATCAAATTTCTCGTTCCTTGGAATCTAAATATTACGCAATCTTCGATGACACTGTAAGCGCATCGCGGATGAAACGCGGTCTGATTAACGCTATAGGTACTGTATGGAAAGCAATAACCGGCAACCTCGATTCATCGGACGGTGAATACTATAACGATTGTATTAACAAAATTTCTAAAGATGAACATGAGCTCGAAAACCTCATGAAGAACCAAATTTCTGTTACCATGTCGGTTATCAAGAATTTTAACAACACTATTCAAAAACTTATGATTGATGAAACTACGTTTAATGAAGATATTAAGGTCATTGAAAACAAAATTTATGAAATTTCAGACGATCTTGCATTTTATGAAGCTAAATTCCAATTTTTAGAAGTTTGCGAACAATTAATGGAAAGCTACATGTTTCTGGAAGAGACAATTAATGATATTCTAAATTCAATTACTTTTGCACGTTTAAAAATAATACATCCTTCTATTATCACTCCTCAAGTAAATTCTCTTCAAGAAATTTCTCACACTTTGTCGAGAAATAATTTACCCCTTCCGGTTAATTTAGCAACAGTGTCAGAGTACCTTAATCTTATGGAACTCGAAGCATATCAAACTAAAAAAATAGTAGTATTCGTTCTACGCATCCCGTTATTAGAGCCCGAAATGTATACTTTATACAGAGTGATTCCTCTACCCACTCTCGATAAACGTACTGGTTTGTTTCATGTAGTCTCCACTATACGGAGGTACATTGCTAAAGATAGCGATTCTCTTTTGTACGTTTCCTTTCAAAACTTAGGTAGTTGTAAAGTTCTTCAGTCTCAGGTGAAAATCTGTTTCAACCTCTTGCCGTATCCAATAGACAGTAATGCAGTCTGCGAAGCACAGTTGTTGCGAAATCCGGTCGATCTGCCGACAGCCTGCCAAATAGCAATTGTGGCACTGCAAGATTACAAAATCCAAGAACTTGCAACCAATTTTTGGCTAATCACCATATCTAGCCCTCTGCCAATTACGATGAAGTGTGGACAACGAGAGACTACCACCAAAGTAATAAAAGTTAATTCACTTTTAAAAATGCAGCCCGAATGCAGTGGCTTTGTAGGCACCACGAGATTACATTCTAGATATTCTGTTAGCACCTACAAGAATATCACATACAAAAGTCACCCTGTAGAAGTACCCTACAAATGCTGTGAACATCTCCCAGAGAAACAAAATTTACCAAAATTAAAACCGAACAACTGGACAAAATTATGAACGAGCCGTTTGTTTCAAGACATCTCTCATGGTTCACGTATTTCATCATCACCCTGTTAGTTATCATCGTAGCTTTGTACCTGTTCTGCAAGTGCAGAAAACGTAGACCACTCAGCATCTGCGCATCAAATTATCCAGCCGATGGTCCATCTCCAGGAGCACCAAAAGTCCGGTACATTCCCAGACTTTTTCCTCGACGTAGACCAACCATCCAGCCACATGAAGAAGACATCGAACTGCAGTGAGTGTTCCGTGAAGTGTTTTCACTGTTCAAAAAGACATTTCCAATTTTCGTGTTATCTACCATGTGATTTTGCCCGTACGACTGTACGATTGTATCTTATTATTTGTTTGTTCCAGCTTTGCTTTTAGATGTTATTTAGCATCGCCAATGTACCGCATTTATGCTAACAATTTTATTTTTCAGAATCTATATTTTCTGATGTTATTTTGCAATTTTATTACTCCTACTTTTATATTTTTATATTTTACAATGTTTACAATTTACATTTCTACATTTTTACATTTTTGAATTTTTACATCTTTTACACTTTTCTAATTTTATCAAAAGTTGTCGCATGGCAACAACTTTTTGTAATAGGGGGAAGTTGTTATATGCACTCAAAACAATGGACTTACTATTCCATACAATGTTGCACCAGACGCTAGCTCAGCAACAGATAACGACTTCTCGCTAACACGTTGTTTACGCTTTATTTTCTAGAAGTGTTTTGTAAGCACACCAATAGTATAAATAGGCCTTGCGCCCATTTCATGTCGTTCATTACCCGGCTAGGCACCGTAACAGTCACTTATGTAAACTCCGTAAATGTCACATCTGTAAACTTTTGTATTTTATATGGACCGAAAGCTCAGTCCTCAAATAAAATTTTTTAAAAAGTTATTTCTAAATCTAATGATTTAAAATACATGACATTTGTTGGCACATTTATAAAATATTGGCCATTATACGATGGGTGTCCCAATTTCGACCTACATATCAAAGTTGTGATTTTAAAAATAGAATGCCTCAAATTTTATTGCATATTTGAATAAACCAATTCAAAAGAAAAAAATTGATATAACATACTATGGAGTTTTGGTAATTAGCTACTGAGATATAAGGTGTAACCCCCCACTTCGGCAACTATTCAGTCCGCCATTTTGAAATTTTGAGTTCTGAATTATAATAATGCATGATATAATGCTATAGTAACATTTACACCTAGCGACGCTACGAAACCCTGCTACCTATCAAACAATGCCTTGGCCTTTTTATTTCATGAAATTTCCCTACAGATGGGTGGCGAAGAAGTTTATGGAATTCGGAATCCAGGAATAACTTCAACTATAAAAACGATGGTGTCACATGGTAAAAGTGCGATGCATACACTATTATGTATTGATTGGAGCTTAAGTGCCGAGAACTCGGCTATATGGGATGACGAAAGCAAAGTTTTTATTGGTAGGATACCCCTAAAACATATAATGGGATTCGCAGAAGACTACAAAAAAGGGATTCCTAATTTAAAGCGAGAGCTTCTGTTGGTCATTGAACATACTACAACATGAACATTCCTGAACATATGATGGATACGATTATTCGTTATTGATGGCAGCCATCAGCCTGATCATCTCCAACTTTCAACTGTCGACATATCTTTGGAATTTGATGCCAGGAAATCTGCATTTCCATTCCACACTAAGGTGTATGCATTAGTTATTCATGACTCATGCATCAGTTTCAATGCTTTTGATGGGTCTATCCAAAATGGACTTATTCATTCCTATTAAATGTTTTTGTAAGTGTGAAATAAAACACATTTTCTTACTGCATGTTGCTTTTATTTACCTGTACGAGCTTGAAGTAACCTAAATCTAATACATACAAACTTCCTCTAATATTAATTTTATTATTAAGTATAAATTACAGTTTACGAGGAGTCAGTCTGGTAAAACTCAATGGCGAAGTGTCCCCTAGGTAAAGTTTTTGTGGTGTTAGGAATAATAAACCTTTTATCATCATGGTGTGCTAGATCAACTTTATTTTTCTCAGTATCCGCCCACCTACTTCGATTACGCCTTTTTCATTCCACTTTTAACTGACCTAATATAATAAGCTTTTGCACCCGCCCCATAAAAGCTAATTATTGGATCCACTGGAAACTCATCTTTCATTTTACCGAGGATCGAATGATTCACTGGAATATTGAATTCATTGTTCAGGTTATAATTTGATGTGACAAATTCCTTGAACACTCAACCATACCTTCCATCGACTCAGTTCTATTATCCTACACGATAGGGGGTGGAAGCGCTGAGAGGTTTTTTAATTGGTATGGTCATTGAGAGGACAACAATGGCTTAACACAGGCCTCTCCAACGCAGGTGCCAGCAGGGCAGCGCCGAGAACCGGAGCACCGCTCGCATCACAGTGCTGGTGCTGCGGTGCGACTCTGTGAATGTGGGGGCATATGATAGCAGCATACATATCGGACATTGCGATGAAGGTCTTGTGGTAGTCGTAGCGCTCTGCGAATAGAAATGGCCCGGGAGCTGGTCACACTGAATCAACCTTTATCGCGGATTCGACTAAATTTAGTGATACGTAGTTTTTAAGTAAATGAACAAGAAGAGCTCGGTATGACGGGGCGCATCCTATCGAAAGTACTTATCATACCGAGTTGAAGATAAAGCGTGAAAGAAGGATGTCACCGTCTTGGTAGAATCCAATGAAGACTCATATGTTTAAATGAAACTTTAGGCTCATTTGAAAAAACTTGAAATGACAAACTTACTTCCGCCAGAAGTTCCTGTCGTACCAACTGAAAGCTAGAGCAGGCAATGCAAATAAGTATAGATAAAAATAATACCCTATTTGTATGCCTTATGCTTGCATTCAAAAGTTTATTTGGGTTTATCACTTTGACACCTGGCTACTACCGGGTACGCCATCTTTTATGTCGGTATTGAAACATCGAATGACTTTGATATTTACCAACCGAGCGATTTGGTTATACGTGTTTCTGAAGCGTCGATTTACTAAAATTTTAGTCATGAATCGCTTTACACCGAAACAACGCGCCGAAATAGTCACAATGTACATTGAAAATCGTCGTTCAGTTGTGTTAACGCAACGTGCATATCGTAAAAACGTGACAAACAGGCACCGTCTGACAACACTGTCCATCGTTTGGTTTCGAATTTTCTTGAGTACGGGACAGTGGGAGATCGTCAACATACCGTTCATCAACGACCAAGACGTTCCAATGAATTGGTTGAAGCGGTCAGAGACAGCGTTGCCCAGAACCCAAAAGTGTCGTATCGTCACCGCGCTCCGCATTTTGGCATCTATCAGTGGAACCACGTTGCGGCGCATTTTGAAGGATGATTTGCATTTGTTTCCTTATAATTATTATTATTATTATGGTCCTATTAAGAAATGCCCTGCGCCCGGGAGATAGTCTGCTAGTATTGTGCTTTCTGTCGCGACGGCTGTGCGGTCAAGGAGGAAGGGGAAACTTCAGGTACTCCACAAAAAAAAACTGTCGATATTTCTATTATACAGCATCGAACTACTAAGAGGCTTTACAATCAGCATGGGTATTGAGAGGGCAACAATACCCCACTTAACCACACCTTTCGTCGACTCTTCTATTATTCAACACGTGGCTAATCGGGAATAGAACCGCTAAAATGTTTTACAATAGGCATGGACATTGAGAGGGCAACAATGCCATAAAACTTCCGTCAACCCTTTTCTATTTTAGAATACGTTGTTGATCGGGGATCGATCCGCCAAAAAGTTTTAGAATTAGCATGGCAACAGTGCCTTCCGTCGAGCTATTTATATGATACAAGTTTATCGAATATCCGATTAAGGTGGAGAGATGACAAGATTGAAGTGGGAAAAGAGCGCTGCTGCTCGTTCGCCCGGTCGATCTGTTATAGGGGGGAGGGGTGTATCAGTTAACCACACCTTCCGTCGACTCATTTCTGTTATACAACCCAGCCGCTAAGAGGTATTACAATTTGCATGGTACCCGCCCCTCCCCCCGGGGGAGACATCACTAAACTGAAAATTTTACACTCTTTTCAAAAATCAAAAAATCCAATATGGCGGCCATAAGAAAAATGAAAGTTGAGGCGGGTTGCTGGAAAACATTTTGACAGCTGTCAAATTAACCGTTTTGCATTTACTGGCAAAAGAAAAGTTGTTCTAATTTATCTACGTTAATAATAGATTCAAAATGGCATACATAATATGGTAGAATATGATTGGTACATAACTTGTTGGAACTGACAGTCCGCCTCTTTACAAATGATCAAAATAAGTATTTTTTGCAAATGCACCTTTTTAACTATTAGCGATTTGCATATCTCACAGTTTAGGTTTTCGTATCTGGATATGTAAGTCTTAGTACCATCCTCTATGTCACAACCAGCTGTTTGTATCAAATACTTCTTTAAAGATATCTATATTTTTAGGCGTTGGTATCTAAAAACCAAAATTTTTGTGAGAATTAAAGCAATCTTGAAACTTTGCTTTAATTTCTGCTAAAGAAAATGACGATTTCCCTTCACAGAAAATATGCCTCAAGCGTGTTTTCTTTTCGGCATTTAAAATTTCATCAAATGACACATTGTAATTGCAGCCACATGAAAGTGTATAATTGCCAAATCGTTTTTCCAAATTGTCTGATGTGAATTTTCCAGACAATATATAATAATTGATGTCAAATTGATTAAATGAATATTCAATTATATTAAGTAGTCATTGTGCTTTGATGAAGAGCTGTACCTATATCTCTCTGGTGTCAGGTGTCCATTTTTATTTTCTAGATGTTGCCATTTTCCTAATCATATCATGAGTTTTTTCAAAAATTGTACTCTGTAATCATATTTATCAGTAATGGTCTTGCAACATTCGTTTCGTTTTAATTCTCCTTTTATTACAGTTGTATACTGAATCCCACCAATTTCTGATTATTAAACGTGTGCAGTATCATCAAACTTTAACTCTTTCATAGCAACTATTGTCGAGTGAATAAAGTATCTACAAAATTTACATTTTGTCTTTCAAATGAATCTGGATACAATGTTTTATAATTTAATTTTTATGCTTCCTTAACTACATATTTTTTTCCAATTCATATAGAGTATGAACATTTTGAAATTTAGCATGCTGAATAATATTGTCAAAATTACTATACAGAAAAGTTTTGTCCAGGTTCTTTAAATTAATCCAATTATTTCTAATACTTTTGAAAATATTCACATCATAAGTTAAAAATATGTTTATTTTTTTCAGGCTTATGTGGATTTGGAATAGAATGATTTATTGACGAATTTGCTACTAATTTCCTTAACATTGCTCTATTAATTCGGTGATTATCAGTAATAACACAAATAACTTCAAATCCACATGTTTGAACTAAATTTATTATACGTTCAACCAAAGGTGACATTTCCTCATTTGTTATATTTGAAATTGGTAGCAAATCAACAATTTCTGTAGTACTTCCAAATTCTGAAGATAACATAAAGGCTGAAACAGTCTTAAATATATAATTTTTCATTGACATACCCAACAATGTTTTGTGAGCGATAGTCCAATCGAGATGTTATATAAATTTCGTCAATCATCAAAATAACAATTTTGTCGATTTGAGCTAATTTAGATGCTATATTTGAAAGGTGGTGTTCATTATTTATGTTAGTTTTTGTGGTTATATCCATACTTGATGAGGTATGTTGTAAGTATCGCTTACTTGGTAAAATAAAAATATTTTAATTGAATTGTATGTTGATGATGAGTGCTTATAGAAGATAAATGCCATTATTGTAGGATGAGAACGAGATGATAATAGCAATATAACGATAAACGCGAAAACATCTCATCTTAGAAGATTCCGAAGTACCGCCCCGGAACAAGTTGATTTTTACTACATGGGCAGTGCGTAAACAATCCGATATGGGCAACAATGTCAGGGTAATATTAAAGTCACTTACTTGGTGAGAAAACGATAATGAGTTATCCTCCTTTGGCAAGCTATAAGGGCGATATGATCGGATTGTCGGGGCCAACACCTAATTTTAGAAAAAGACTTATGAGTATCTCCCGTATCCAACTGACTCATGACATCACATGCACAAATCTACTATTTACCATTACATTAATATACCCCAACTACTAGTAAGGATTTGTCATCGACTGAGTCACGGGATCGTCACACAGACTGATCATTAAGTCGGCACACAGACTGACTAGGAGTCGTCACACATACTAACTCTTTGGTCGCTAGGTGTATGGTCAAACGTGCCGAGTTTAGCGATTGTTGCAAAAAGACAGTCCAGGAACCAGGATATCACGTTGGCCAACGGCCGTTGTGTCAATGCCCCAAAGCTCCGACGTTACCCCTGAATCAGAGATAACCGAGCAAGATGACTATCATTAAAGTAACAATCCGTTCACACAGAAGATAGTTAAGCTGTCATTCAGACCTAGGACGCCACTTCGGCCAAATGCCACCGTGTCAACATCCCAAGCGCTCTGATACTTCCACTGGTAGAGGAAACCGAGCAGTAATTAACATAACTACCTCAACCCAGCAAACGGGTTCCACAGATCCTGGAGGCGTCCCACCTGCGTAAGCCATAAATTAAATTATGAAGGTAAAACGTATAGCATCTTTATAAACATGGCTTAAGACATTCCTGATCATGAATATAAAAGTATTGTGGTTATCAATCCATGCAGGACAGTAGAATAAAGGAAACACTCAGTGATTGCTCACCTTTCAAGTAACCAAAACACTACGTACACCCAATA